CTTCACATGAAGTGACAGAAGGCCCTTGACACGAAAATTCAAACAAAAATGGCTGTGAGTTATTGTAGCTGTGATTTTAGCCACCTGTCATAGTGATAATGACCAAGGCAAATCTTGAAAATTCTATGCTTGAGTTGCAGTAGTCGTCATGCAGTTAGGGCCCTGTGTATGATGTGCTGGGGAATTGTTATACCGTCTAGAAATCAAACTGTTTAGGATTAATCTCCTGTACATATATAACAAGTTTGATGTTTGAACTTGGCCAATTATGCATGTAGAGGTAGCATGAACCAATCCTCCCCTCCCCTCTCCCCCACCCACCCGAGCTTTATGCTGAGTTTCATGAATGTTAGTAATAACCATAATTTGGTACACTTTGGAAAACACTGAAAGTGATGCTCTTAATTGAGGTATTGGTCTTCAGGTCGTATAAGGCATATAAAAGTTCAACTTGTCTGATTTTCATCTGTTTATCCTGTAAAATCTTTGAAACTAATAATTCCTTAACTCGTAACAAATTTGTCCAGGTAATCCCTTCTTACGAATCACGGCAAAAAGTTGTTTAATGAGAATTTGTGTTCACATCGCAGACAAACTAACGCGTGTACCTAATGACCCTTTTGAATTTTTGGGTAACTAACTAAACATTGGTTTCCATTCATCAAAAAGTTCGTCCATGCTGCGTTTTGCTGGGTCTTGCTTCGATGGAGCACATGGAAAGAGACTTTGTTGAGACTATAGAAAGGAAACAGCGTAAGAAATAACGCAAGTAGACTCGTTCCCACTCGCTACTCATGGGTCAGATTAGATTGTTTTAAAAACAAGAGGTCTGGATCGAGTGGAGCGCGCGGGGAGTGTGTGGGAAGAGGCGTAAAAAAATAACCCATGACGTCCCGCGCGCCTTAATCCCCATAGTATTCAATCTTCTCTCCCCCGAAATTAAAAACACGTTAATAGCGACTGGATACGAGCAAGAGAAAATGACTCTTGGTACGAGTCAATTGCCCAGATTAGTTTCGTGACATTACTCGCGTAGGTCACGTGAAGTTTTGGGGCAGACGCGACGATCACGCCACGATCTACGAAATTTGCATTTTAATCACTAACTAACTGAGCGAGCGTTAGAAATGTAAAGCAAAACATAGCAAGATGGTCGCCCATTCCGAGATACTTTTATCCAAGTGTGCTCAGTTTCGAGACGACGGTCAATTCATCGACGTTCGTTTAAAAGTGCGAGAAGATATCTTTCCAGCTCATCGCATTGTACTCGCTGCGAATAGCGATTATTTCTACGCCATGTTTACTGATGGAATGAAAGAGTCCAGCCAGGAAGTCATCGAACTCAAGGATGAAAGCATTTCACCAGATGCTTTCAAGATTGTAATGGATTCCATCTACGCTGGAGATATTTGCGTCAACGAGGAAAACGTGTTTGAAGTTCTTGCTGCAGCTGATCATCTTCAAGTCACAACTGTTGTTCAACAGTGTTGTGATTTCTTGAAGAGGGAATTTATTCAGCTCCGACTTGACCTTCACAACTACTGTCTGCTTTCCACAGTGGCCGATAGACACAGTCTGAGAGATCTGCAAGAGGCCGCAGAGAATAAGATGGCTTCGATGTACGTTGATGTTTGTGAAAGCGAAGAATTCCTTTCTAATGTTAGTGGAGACCAATTATTCAGCCTTCTCAGTCGAGATGACCTCAGTGCACCTTCGGAGACGTTCATCTTCAAATCAGTGATGCAGTGGATTAAACACAAGAAGGAAGAGAGGATGGCAGTTGCAGCCAAAGTTATCGGAGCTGTTCGTCTGGGCTTGGTGGATATCAGGGTTGTGATTGAAGAACTGGACACAGAGGAGATGAAGCGAGTTTCAGAGATTTACACGCTGATGTGTGAAGCGTTAATCTATAATTTCATGCCTTCCCGTAACCCTAAATTTGCTGTAGAGAAAACAAAAACAAGATCGACTAGCCCGGTAAGAGACTTTAGACTGTACATTTAGTTCGCAAAGCTAACGAAGTCACGCGATTGATTCGATCAGACACAAATGCCATCTTTTAGAATTATACATTTATGCCAATCTATAAATTCTTATATTTTAATTTGCCACGAAGTAAAGTAAGTTTGTTTGCGTGGTATTTAAATTTGACATAACTTAATATTTTACATGACAGTATAAATGTTTGGGTATGATGTCACGCAACCCCAGTCCCCGAAAATATCACCTACATTTGACAACCTCGTTCCCAGGCTCTCTCTCCTCTGCCTCCCACGACACATTCTCGCCCACATAGCCCTTTTCGCTTCTCTTAGCCGAGAATGCCCACGACAAGGAAGGCAGAGGAGAGAGCCTGGGAACGAGGTTACACATTTGGTAGGGTGGACCATTATCATTGGACATGGGGTGTTAGCAATTTTTCTCAGGGAGACTATTTTTGTTCCAGCATCATTTCTTTTTGCTCCGTATATTTCTTTTTCGCCGTTCGTTTTCCGCAAATTTCTCCTTCTGGTTTTCTTTTAGGGGAAATGTTTTTCGTAATTTCACGGCCCTCCTTCCCATCTCAAGAATTAATAGGGAGTTTAAGAAAGCCACAACGGCAACGGGAACGTCGCTAAACAAAAGCTTTAATGGGGAGAACAATGGCTGTGCACGTGCGTTGTAACTCTTGGTACATTTCTTTACCGTCCTGTGCAAAACAACAACGTGAAATAACCAAATTCTGCGTTGTCTGGAGAACGTAAATCACGACGGAAATTTTTTAAAATCTATATTTCGAATTTTACGCTGTGTTCCATATTCAGTTTCAAGATAGTTTTGACAAAGGGAAACAAACTTAACGACTTTAGAGTGTCGCGAGATTCCTAGGTAAAATATGAATTCGTGTTTCTATATCCGGCAGTAAAATAGTGAGACCTTCGCAACGGAAGAGAGTTTGTTTTCCTATTTAATTTGTCCTTTCTTTTAACTCACAGAGTTTTAACCTGACAAGAAATACATATAGGTACTTTGTTGTTAACGAGTGCATAGCAGCAACACAAAAGAACAAGTGTTCTGTATTCTACTAGAGTGTCTCAACAAAGAAATTGCCGTAGGGCTTAAGCCAACCGAGAGATGGATATATTGCCTATGACAAATGCATTTCCGTGTGACTCGTCCAGTTTTCAACGGAGTCATTCGGTTGCAAAGAAATGGCCTGGTTGAAACATGAAACAATAGCTTGTTTCGGAGCTTGTTTGCAATTTGCAGAACCGCATTTGGTGTCGGATGATATGAAAAGGGATGGCTTAGGCTGTCTCTGAAAATGAAATTCATATCAGATTATCAGTCTAATCGTATCTATAACGAAATTCTCGATCGTGATTGGTTCTCCGCCCGCCTATTTATAATGGCAATAGGACTGAGTGGAGTCCAATCCGGTCTGTAATCA